GGAAAATGCAATCCAAACCACAATGAGATATCACCTCACACCTGTCAGAATGGCTAAAATCAAAAACCCAAGCAGCAACAAGTGTTGGTGAGGATGTGGAGAAAAAGGAACCCTTGTGCACGGTTGATGGGAATGCAAACTAGTGTGATCACTGGAAAACAGTATGGAGGTTCCCACTATAATTCAAAATGGAACTACTTTATGATCTAGTAATTCCACTACTGGGTATTTACCAAAAGTGTAAAAACACTAATTTGACATTATATGCACCTGTATATTTATTGCTGCATTATTTATAATAGTCACATTATGGAAGCAACACAAGTGTCCATCAATAGATGAATAGAGAAGATGTGTTATATATACAATGAAAAATTATTCAGCCATAAAAAATATGAAATCTTGCCATTTACAACAACATGGATGGATCTAGAGGGTATAATGCTAAGTGAAATAAGTCAGAGAAAGACAACTACCACATGATTTCACTTACATGTGGAAAACAAAACAAAGGAAAAGACAAACAGCCCCTTCCCTATAGCCTCTTAAATATAAAGTACTGGTGGTTGCCAGAGGGGAGAGGTATGGGAATGGGTAATATAGGTGAAGGGGATTAAGAGCGTGCTTATTGTTATGAGCCCTGAGTAATGCATAGAATTGTTGAATCACTATATTGTACATGTGAAACACTATATGTTAATTATACTGGAATTAAAACGATGATCACAATACTTGGTTAATCATGGAGATGTCATTTATCCAATGCCATCACATATGTAAAACAAATAGAATAGTATCTATAGTATAAAAAATACATATAAATATATACTGGTTCATCTGAGAGGAACTGGAGAGGCGTACAGCTGAGCTCTACAGAACCACACAGGAAGTACTGATAATGAGACACTTTGGTCTGGCTGACATCTCTTAGCCCCACCAAGTATAAAATTCCAGATTTATAAAATTAGAAATCTATATGTAATTATAATCTCTTGAGAAGTGATACAGATATATAAGATTACACCTCATGTTCTCACTAGGATCATTGGTCAGAGTTACTGCAACTTTTTAAAAAAAAATTTTTAATGTTTATTTTTGAGAGAGAGAGACAGAGTGTGAGTGGGGGAAGAACAGAGGGAGAGGGAGACACAGAATCCGAAGCTGACTCCAGGCTCTGAGCTGTCAGCACAGAGACCAATATGGGGCTCGAACCCACAAACTGCGAGATCATGACTGAGCCGAAGTCGGACACTTAACCGACTGAGCCACCCAGGTGCCCCAGAGTTACTGCAACTTTAAGGTGAGGCCTCACACTAATAAATATCTCTCCTTTTTCATCCACAGATTTTCTAGACCATATTCCTTCATTAGTATAACATTGAATAAGAACTTTGAATATCAATTTGTAGAAGTTAAAGGTCCTTTTAAAAGACCTATTATTATGGGGCGCCTGGGTGGCTCAGTTGGTTGGGTGGCCGACTTCAGCTCAGGTCATGATCTCTCGGTACATGGGTTTAAGCCCCGCGTCAGGCTCTGTGCTGACAGCTAGCTCAGAGCTTAGAGCCTGTTTCAGAGTCTGTGTCTCCCTCTCTCTCTGACCCTCCCCTGCTCACACTCTCTCTCTCAGAAATAAATAAATAAAAAGTTAAAAAAAAAAGACCCCCGATTAAATTACAGTGTCATTCCTATAAGAAAATACATTCATTTATGTACCAAGTACCTGGGCCTTTAAGTACCTGTGTACTGGGCACTGTCACACACTGAGAACACAGTAGTGAGCCAGATGTGGCACTTGTGCTGTCAGAAGAGACAGACAATAAATGTGTAAATAATAAATTATATAATTTCAGGAAGTCTCGAGTGCTGTGAAGAAAACAGGGCAGGTCAGTGGACAGACAGGGACAGGAGATCGGGTGGTCAGGGAGGTACGATGATCCAGGTCGTGTGAAAGCTGTGAAGCAAACGTGACATTTTTCTGAGGAACATCAGGAGGCCAATGGGCCTGGCGCACGGGGAATGGAGCAAAGAGCGAAGCCATGAAGTTTCTGTGCCGCTTTCGTATCAACTAGACACTGGCTGCGAATTTGTTTCTTGTTGAATGCGTGGATTCCCACATTGATTTCATAACTGAATATTCAAACCCTGAATAGGACCACTATTTTACTACTATATGTTATAGTTTACAAATGAGACTGAATTAGAAAACTGGGGAAGGAGATGGATATAGCAAGAAGAATGGTTTGGAGTCAGAAAGCCTGAATCAGAGCCCAGGCTCCACCATTTGTAATTTGTGGGCCTTGGGCAGCTTACCTACCTGCTAGGAGCTTCGGTTTCCTTGCCTGAAAAGGGAAATACTGACACCGCCCTCTCCCCTCTGGTGGGTGAGAAAGCCCTCTCTAGCTGTCCTGTGCCCCATCAGGCAGCCGCCCCAAGAAGTCTCTCAGTCTGTACATGGCAGCTGAGAAACAGAAAATAAAGGTGGACAGGGGCGCCTGGGTGGCTTAGTCGGTTAAGCATCCGACTTTCGCTTGGGTCATGATCTCGCGGTTCGTGGGTTCGAGCCCCAGTTGGGCTCTTTGCTGACTGCCAGCTCAGAGCCTGGAGCCTGTTTCAGTCTGTGACTCCCTCTCTCTCTGACCCTCCCCTGCTCACGCTGTCTCTCTCTCTCTCTCTCTCCTAGAAATAAAAACAAACAAACAAAAAAAAGAAAATAAAGGTGGACAAACAAGATCTTTAATAACAACACATTAATAATGACAGTGAACAAAACACAGCTATTATTTGGGGCTAAGCATGCACTAAGTGAGGTACTATGGTACCCTGTTTAGTCTTCTCAGCAACTCCCTAAGATTGGTTCTGTTGTTATCCTCATTTTACAAACGAGGAAAGAGGAGGCTTCGAAAGATTATTTGCCCAGGGTCACATAGACCCTGAGGAAACTTCAACCTTCAAAGTGAAGTGTTTATTCAAAGGTGAATCCTCTGGGTACCCTCTCTCATTGCTTATTTTATTTAATTTTATTTATTTTTTTATATTTATTTAATCTTTTATTTATTTTTGAGAGAGAGAGAGGGAGACACAGAATCCAGAGCAGACTCTGTGCCATCAGCACAGAGCCTGACGCGGGGCTTGAACCCCAGAAACCATGAGATCGTGACCTGAGCTGAAGTCGGACGCTCAACTGACAGAACTAACCAGGCACCCCGATTTTATTTTAAGTTTATTTTTTAGAGAGAGAGTGTGAGTGGGGGAGGGGCAGAGAGAGAGGGAGGTGCAGAATCTGAAACAGGCTCCAGGCTCTGAGCTCAAACTCATGAACCACGATATCCTGACCTGAGCCAAAGTCAGACATTTAACCGACTGAGCCACCCACACACCCCTCATTGCTTATTTTATTTTAGACAAAATTAGAATCAACTTGCTAATGTTTTCCCAGCCCACAGTTTTCAGTAACCTGTAAATTAAATAAGGGTGAGCAGGCTTCGCTGGTGGTGGGCACTCTAGCAGCAACGAGATAGGAACACTTTAATAAAAACCAGACACTCCCACAGGCACATACATACAAATGAAAACAAAGGAACCAAAAAATGAATCTAGGCATAGTGAGGAAAGGGTCCCTCCACCTACACAACAATCTTCCCACGTCAGAGCTTGGAGGCTTATACCTACCACATTATGCTCATAAGCAATGACAACCGATCACCAAAACATAAGTCATTTGTTTACTCTCAAAGGAAGTATGTAATGAAATTTAGAACATTTCTATCTAAAATGTCTAAAATTAGAAAACCGATTAAAAACTTATATAGAATAGCTTATTCCCCAAGGACAGTGGATTAAATAAGACCTCACTGTATTTTAAAAATATTGCACTATTTGTAAAAAAAAAAAAAATATTGCAGACAATGTGATTTTACTCATATAAAGTTCCAAACTAGGCAACACAAAATTATAGCCTTGAAGGTTGCATCCTTAGGTCAAAGGGAAAAGAAACACAAGGAAGTGAGGAGAGTAGTTTACCTTTAGGAGGGAAGGGAGAGCTTGCAATTAGGAAGGAGCCCACGGGGATTTCTAGGGGCCAGCACTGTCCTGTTTCCTGACCCGAGTGATGTGACACGGGTGTCCAATTCACAGTAATTCATTAGGCTGTATTTGTATGATTGCTTTAAGCACACTTTTCTATATTTGTGTTATATTTCACAATGAATGTTAAAATAATTGAACTTACAGGATAAACATATCACTAATAAAGTATACAGTACATTTTGCTCAGGTGTCGTTCATGGATTTCCTATCATTTTATCCTCTGGGCAGCCCATGGAAGGTAGAGAGGGCAGGCATCCTCCCCCTCATTTTAAGACTGGAACCCTGGAGTTCTAGGAGTTCACTGCCTTGCCTTCACCCTTGTAGTCAGTGGGTGAGCTAGGACTCCCACCCTTTTCTGGTATCTTCCAGTGTCCAGCTCTCCTAGCCGCCACCTCCTCTTTCAGACATATTCTGGGCACAGAATATACTGCAGAGCAGGGGCGTCCTGGTGGCTTAGCAGGTTAAGCATCTGACTCTTCATTTCAGCTCAGGTCATGATCTTAGGGTGGTGAGGTCAATCCCTATGTCAGGCTCTGCGCTGAGTGTGGAATGTACTTAAGATTTTCTCTTCCTCTCTCTGCCTCCTCCCAACTCATGTCTTGCTTGCTCTCTTTCTCTCTCTTTAAAACAAAACAAAACAAAGAAAAAGAAAAAGATGGGCTCCTGGGTGGCTCAGTCAGTTAAGGGTCTGACTCTGATTTAGGCTCAGGTCATGATCTCACAGTTCCTCAGACTGAGTCCCACATCGGGCTCCATGCTGTCGGTGTGGAGCCTGCTTGGGATTCTCTTTCTCTCTGCCTCTTTCCTGCTTATGTTCTCTCTCTCAAAATAAATAAATAAACTTAAAAAGAAAAGAATATATTGCAGAGCAATTGTGAAGTCTGAGTGACTTTCGTCAGAGATCAGAACCTCACCTGTCACTATGTTCCTCCGCAATCTTGAGCTTGCTCTGGGAATCAGTCTTGGCCTCCCTGACCGTGTTACACCAGGCCCTGAATATCTTCTTCTGAAGAAAATGTACACACAATTTTCGTACTTCTTCCTCCAGATCAGTCACGTGCTAGGGATGAGGACAGGAATAGAAGTGAGACATATAATATCATAAAGAATTAGAACAAATAAACAGTACAAAAGAGAACTGAAACAAAACACAAAACAAAGGGAGAAAGGACACTGGAGGCAGAAGGAGAAAAAGACAACATGGCTGCCAAGAAAATACCCTCTGCAATGTATTAAACAATAATGGAGCCAGAGGTGTATAAACAATTATAAGCCTGGGGGTGGAGGGTAGGGTTCTAGTAAAATTCTAGTCCCATAAATGGGACAACAAACAATAAATGAGTATAAAAACAAAAGCTGATGTAATGCTACATTATAGTTTATAAACAGCTTATGAACACTGTGTGAATAGAAATGTTTTATACTAAGAATTGATTTGACATTTTCATACTCATTTCAAAGCAAGGAACTGAACTCACTATTCTATACTGTTCCTGAAAAAGCAACGATTATGGACATCTGGATTGCATCTAATTTTCTTACATGGGACTGGGCAGAACCATGCATTTAAAGCTTCCTTCCCTGCGGCCTTACCTGTAGCCAGCTCTGGAGGACTCTCCTAAGCAATATTTGGCAATAAAGTCGATCAGCACAGGCGGTCTTCCTAGCCAGGCTTTCCTGGCTACACTGGAACCAGGACAGCAGGCATTTCCTCTGTAGAGCCAAAGAGTGATGTTCTTCGGCCACCTGGGGAGTTTTTTAAGTGAGAAAAGGAAATTATTCCTTATATGTTTCATCATTTAAGAAAGCACACATCACCGTAGCAGACAATGCTATAAAACACATGTAGGCAGTTGTAGAAGGAAGAATCCTAAGGACATTCAGACTATGTCCTAAGTAAGAGCTTTGACTACTGACCCTTTTTTATGGGGGTTTTAGATTCATGTCATGTATAGCCTTTCAGTGATGACTCCTTAAGGACCACAGGGACTGGCTGGTTATTAGGGAAATGGAATAAACCTCCAGAGCTGTGTTTCACTTGCACTGCGTTTTGAAGTGAGTAGCTGACGAGATTCTCAGTTTGTTCTCCTGGAGCTTACACAGCAACTCCATAATAAACCTCTCCAGTATGTACTTAACCACCGTCTAACCGAGGAAATGCCAATACTTTCTATTAGTTTTATAGTATGAGCTGTCACCAGTATTGAAATTTAGACATTATCAATAAACCACAAAACCATTTGACAGGAAAATAACATGATGAATAATTTAATGTCTGACCAACTTAAAAGGTTCAGAGCATCATTCTACCAAAACAAACATGTAACTCAGTTTTATAGGTTTTAAAAGGTAGCTGTTATGTTCTTTTAAAAGGCAAGAGGGGAAAAACCCTTCTCTCTTAATCCTGTCCAGACAATAACACCTTTTTCCAAGCCTTGTCTAGCTATCCAGCACTGTGGATGATCCAGGCAAACCTCCTGACAGTCATATTTCTTGGCCAACATAACCATCCGGGAGGCCACTGTGGCACTCGACCCCGCTGCCTGTTCTGACTCACCCTGCCCTGGGGGCCAAAAGGCAAGGGAAGCCTTCTATTCTCCCTGATTTTCAGGGAAAACAGAGAACCAGGAAAAAAAGATTATCAGAAAGTCCCATGGAAATTCTGAAAATGGTTGCTGGAATAAATACATATAGCACATATGAGTTTAAGGGAAAAACTGAATAACTCTTCTGAAAAAATGTTACAAACCAGCCAGGAACTGTTTAACTGGACCTTTCTTTTTTCTATCCCTTCTGGAAGCCAACTCTGATGGGTAAAGCAGCAGCCCCTTCCTTTTACTGTCCACCGGACTTTTACTTCTTTTTATTATTTAACTTTCAACTGGTGGTTGTTGTCTACACACTCTGATATTTATACAGTTCAAAGGAATGCCAGACCTGGACAGACCTGGACAGGATTCCTGGCGAAAATGGGTGCCACACTCTAGCTTTGTAACCAATGTGCTGTGTAACTTAAAGCAAGTCAGTTCTCCTCTCTAGGGCTCAGTTCCCTTATTACATATTGAAAGAGATGGAGAGGACTGCTAATGTTCCAAAATTCTACTATATTGTTGTGATAGACTGAATAGTGGCCCCTCAGGGACAGCCCACAGCCTGATCCCAGGAAATATGTTCCCTTACATGGTAAAAGGGATTTTGCAAATGTGATTAAGTGAAGGATATTAAAATGTGATTAAGTGAAGGATCTTAAATGAGATTATCCTGGATTATGTGGATTCTAAGTATCCTAATATAATGTATCTAAGTAATGTAATTCTAAGTATCCTTGTCAGAGAGAGGTGGGGTGGGGTGGGGGGTCAGCATCAGGACATGTAACATGAAAGCAAGAGAGAAGAGTGATTTGAGGAGGGGGCTGGGAGCAACAGAATGCAGTGGCCACTAGAAGATGAAAAAGGCAAGGAAACAGATACCCCCTTGGACCCACCAGAAGGAACATACCTGCTGACAGGCTGACATTTGCCCAGCAAGTCTGATTTTAAGATACTAAATATGTGCTGTTTTAAGCCATTAAGGCTGAGGTAATTTGTTGTACCAGCAATAGGAAGCTAATACCCTTGTTATAAGCTACAGAGGTGATTCCCAAAATATGGTACTCAGACCACTCAGAATTCCCTGGGCTACTTTTTTAAAAATGCAGATTTCCTGACACATATACCAACCAACAACTCAGTCCTACTGAGAATACCTGGAGGTGGGACCAGGGAATGTTCATTTTAAGAAGTTCTTTAGATGAAAAGAAAACAGGTTTTATGAACAGAAAAGTTTGGGAAATGCTGGTATCAGATCTGTTTTCCTATTTTTATTTTTATTGGGCTTTCATATTCTTAAAGTCCATAATCATCCTTTTGGACTCAAACTCCTGTTTCTATTTTTATATTCTAATAAATTAAAAAAATTTTAATTTGGGGGCACCTGGGTGGCTCAGTTGGTTAAGCATCCAACGTCAGCTTAGGTCATGATCTCACAGTTGGTGGGTTTGAGCCCTCATGGGGCTGTGTGCTGACAGCTCAGAGCTGGAGCTGCTTCGGATTTTCTGTGTCTCTCTGCCCTCCCCAATTTGTGCTCGCTCTCTCTCAGAAATAATAAACTTTGTTTTAAGTTTATTTATTTTGCGAGCGACAGAGACAGTATGAGTGGTGGAGGGACAGAGAAGGAGCGAGAATCCTGTGTCTCTTTCTCTCTCTCTGCTCCTTCCCTGCTCACACTGTCTTTCTCGAAAATAAATAAAACATTTTAAAAAATTAAAAAAAAATGTTATACCTTTTTTGGTTTTATTCAGTCAAAAATTAGGACAAAAAAAGAAGAGCTGATAAGAATGTAAGAGTGAGTCTTTCCACTCCCTGACTACTTTGTCTTTGTATATTAATAACTGAAAATCCTCCCCAAATATACAAAAGCCAGATAAAACAAAACCAGAAGCATTCAACTGGATAGCAAACTACCAGATATCACCAACTTATCATTTGGTACTACACTTTAAGAAGCAAATGTCAATTCAAATTTCAAATTTCATTTCCAGATTCATTCATAGAGAAGACCAGGGAGTCAGCCCTCCCATCTTACTACAAGGAAGAAGCTAAAGCAAAATAGCAGTGGCTTGGGGCACAGATGGATTCTCTTGCCCCCAGGCCTGATCGCCACAACCTGGCTTCCTCAGCAGGCCTTGAATACTCAGCAGTTCTGGAACCACTGATAAGGAAGCTGAGGACAAAAAATCAGGGACAGAGAAAAAGACAGTGGGAAGGTTATTTTGGGAAGGTAAAAAGAAAGTGTGAAAGACAGGAAGAGAACAAAGAGAATGAGGAATGAATAGATTAGGTATGGAGGCAAAAAAAACAGCCTAAGTCACATGCACAGAGGTGTAACCCACAGCATTACTCAATTTTGTGGGATTCTTTTTATATTTGGTTTTCATAACCAAAAATGCTACTTTTACTTTTCAGTATTAACCTGGCCAAATGTGTAAGTAAGAGTGGTTATAACTAGTATAGATCACTGTGCTTATTATTAAAGAGCATTCTGAAAATAACATTTTATCTATTTTGAGCTTCTGATCACTTAATTTAGAATGCCCTGCCCTATGTACTGGGTAAATTTGAAGTTTAATGTTATTTGATTTTATGTATCTCTGTGTGGCAGAGTTGATTATTGTCCCTATAATAGGATTATATACTCATACTCTTTGTGTGTCATTTCATAGTGCCTCCCAATGAAACAGAAGCCTTTTTCTCCCCTCAATGACCTTGAGTTTGGCTCTAGGACTTACTTGGCCACTGAAATGTTAGTGAACATGATACCAGGCAGAGATTTCGTATTGGTGGTACATAACTGGGTTTAGTTGTTGTACCTTAGACATCTGCCAGGTGAAAGCATGGCCTGAATTACTGCTGAAGCCAGGAAGAGGCTTTGGAGAAATCTGAATGTAATCCACAACTGGGCCACAGACAATGTGAGTAAGAAATAAGCCACTGATTATTGAGGGCTATTTGTTATGCAGCTTTACTGAAGCAGAAATCTGACTAAATGCCTTATGGTAGTCATTTTCTCTTTATTAAAAACATGGCTAAAATTGAGAAAGGCCTCTATTTATCTTACTTTGAAAGTCTTTAATAAAAAAATTTACTCATTTTGGGGCAGTTGGATGACTCAGTCAGCTGAGTGTCTACTCTTGATTTTGACTCAGGTCCTGATGCTAAGGTTGTGGGATCAAGCTCATGCCTTGGGCTCTGTGCTGAGTATGAGGCCTGCTTGGGATTCTCTTTCCCCGTCTCTCTGCTCCCCCTCCTTCCACCCCTCCCACTCCACTCCCTCTCTAAAACTAAAAAAAAAAGGAAAAAAAATTCTCATTTTTTCCCCCAACCTATCCAGTCACAGAAATCTTCCTACATCTTGTATGATGAAATCTGAGCTCTTATCCCAAAAAAGAACTACACTCAATTAGTGGATCTGTAATAATATTTCTGGCTTTTAAACACCAAACAACCCTCAAATTCTAATTGGGGGTTTACTCTATTTGAAAAGGCCATTGTGTAATTTTGGGAGGAAGCTCATGACATTATACCTGAATGTTTTGCTTGCTTTGCATTCTCAATTTCTTCCAAGGCTCCAGGCCTTTTTTTCTCAGCAACACTCTTTCATAATGTTCTTTGGCTGCTGCTTCCAGCTGTTGGTTCCTCTTAATTCTCTTCTGCTTCTCTAGTTCTTTCTGGAAAAAATTAAAAAGTAAAAAGGCTGAGGAGGGACCAAGATGGTGATCAGGAGGTCCCGGACTTCCCTCTTCCCTTGGATACACCCAGTGTATAACCACAGATGGAGCATTTCCCTCTGAAAGAAGTCCAGAAACTGGCTGAGTGACTTCCATACCAGGTGAATGAGAAAATACCCACATCAAAGTGGGTAGGAAAGGCGGAAACATACTCTTGACATAAACCCCATCCCTGGTACAGCACCATACAACAGGAAGGGAACTCCCAACTCCAAGCTTCTCTCTCAGGAATGAAGGGTTTGGACTGCACATCTAGTATTTCAACTTTTAAAACAACCACCCAAAGGAAGAACCCCTAAAGCAACTGGATTTGAAAGCCAGTGGAGTGTCTGTCCATGAGATACACAAAACTAAGAAATGGTTCTTAAAGGATGTGTGAGCACTCCCTATGGCTATCCCCATAGGGCTCAGCCCTGAGAGAACAGGCAAAAATGCCCATCTCCCAGTATTTCCCTGAAAGGGGTTTGATGGCATACTTTAAGCTAATTCCTGAGGGTCCAGTTAATTTAGCACACATTTAGGGGTTGTCTGTAGTCCTTCCCAGAGACTGAAGGTGTCTGACGGGCCCTTCCCCTGCCTTCTCTCTCTAACTCACTCCAGTGGTAAAACAAGACCCAGCGCCTCTCTGGAAGGACCCTGGATACCATCTGGTTACCCAGCATTTATGACAACCACCTGAGGGATAGGGCCCTGGTTTGTCTGGCTCAGAAGGCCAGTGGAGTTTACATTCACAAGTCCTACTGGACTGCAGCAAACAGAGAAGCAGTTTTTAAATGGGTTTAGAAGCACCCTACTCACCCTGTGGCTACACACCTGGGCTCAGTGCAGAGGGAGCAGGCAAAAACACATCTCATAGTTTCTCTTGAAGGGGCTTAGGTACCTACATTTCCAGCTGCTGCCTGAGGGCACAGTTTTTAATCAGCTTGCATCTAGGTGCAGACTGAGATTCTCCCCTTTGGAACACTGACAGGTCTTGGTACATGCTCAACTACTGGGAGCTAAGAACAAAGACAGCAGACTGGATGATCCCTGAGACAACCAAGAACCTGGACCATGCTGACAAGGTTCATCGACCACATGAGACCACTCTGTTAAGACTAGGAGAGGTGGCTGCTTTATCTAATGTGCAGAAACCGAGAGAGTCAAGAAAAACAGAGAAATGGGAATATCTTTCAAACAAAGGAACAAGATGAACCTCCAGAAAGTAATCTTAATGATTTAAGTGATTTACCCAATAGACAGTTCAAAACAGTGGTCGTGCAGATGCTCACTGAGGTCAGGAGAGCACTGCATGAGCAAAGACAGAATTTATCCAAGAGATACAAAATATATTAAAAAAATCCAACCCAAACATAAATCATACAGCTGAAGAATACAATAATTGAACTGAAAAAATTAGATAGAGGGGTTCAATAGTAGACTATATCAGACAGAAGAAAGGATCAGCCAACTTAAAGACAGAGCAGAGATTAGCTTAAGGAACTAATGGTACACCATCACAGGTACAAATATTTGCATTATAAGGGTTCAAGAAGAAAGGGGCAGAAAGCTTATTGAAAGAAATACTGGCTGAAAACATCCCTCACCTGGGGAAAGAAACAGACATCCATATCCAGAAAGCCCAAAGAATACCAAAGAAAATGAATCTAAAGAGATACACACCAAAACTCATTATAATTAAACTGTCAGAAGTTAAAGACAAGGAGAGAATCTTGAAAGCATCAAGGGAAAAGCAATTTGTTACATATAAGGGCACTCCTATAAGACAATTAGCTCAAGTTTTTCAGCAGAAATCTAGCAGGCTAGAGAGAGTGGGATGATATATTCAAAGTGTGAAAGAAAAAAACTGCCAAACAAGAATACTCTACTTAGCAAAGGTGTCCTTCAGAATTGAAGGAGTGATAAAAGAGTTTTCTAGACAAAAACAAAAGCCAAAAAAAAAAACAAAAAACAAAAAAAAACACCAAAAACAAAAAACTAAAAGAGTTCATTACCAATAGACCAGCCTTATAAGAAGTGTTAAAGCGATTTCTTCAAGTTGAAGTGAAGGACACTAATTAGTAACCTGAAAATATATGAAATTATAAAATAATAAAATTCACTGGTAAAGGTGTGTGTGTAGTGTGTGTGTGTGTATGTATGTATATGGTTTAATCCAGAATATTCTAATATTGTAATGGTGGTGGATGAATCACTTATAACTCTACTATAAAGGTCAAAAGTACTAAAATGAACTATAATAATAATTTGTTAATGGATACACACTATAAGAATTGTAAATTGTGATATCAACACAAACTGTGGGAACAGCATTATAAAAATGTAGAGGTTTGTACCCAAAGTTATCAGCTTAAAACAGACTGTTAGAATTACAAGATGTTTTATGGCAGCCTCATAACCACAAAGCATAAACCTATAGTAGGAACTCCACCAGGCTCTCACTGAGAGAATCAGGGGAATCCAGATAAAGTTCCTACCACGGTTCTGGCTGGGGGAGAGGAACAGCAGCCACTGTAAAATCTGCCCAGACCATTCTCCCTTGGGAAACAAAGCCTTCATCTCCAAGTGGCCCTACCTTAGCATACTAGTGGACTGCTACTGCAAGCTGGGGGAAAGGGAGCTCTGCCCACACTAGCCCCCCATCTCAGCTAAGTGGAGGGGGAGCCTCACACAGGCAAGGGTTTTAAGGTTACAGACTGAGCTAGTAGATACTATTATAAAATAATAAAATCCAGAGGAGTAGGAGCAGAAATTCTTCTGAATGCCCAATCCTGTGCATTCCAAACAAAGACTGTGACTTACTCAAAATGTTATAAAATGCTTCCCTTTATCCACACCCCACCAACATGTTAACAAACCTCCAGTAATAACAGTGGAGTATAGCTAAGAGACCAGCAGGAGATAGACTCTCTCTGGGGGCAGCACAAGGGGAGACATGAAGCCAAAAGGAGACAAAAACAAAGTTGCTAGTGTAAATTGAAGTCTGTGGTGCTCATGGCAACAGCAAACCTCAACAACAATAACCATGGCAACAAGCTTCAAACGTAGCCCCACTCCTGGATAGATTAACAGAAATCTCCACACTAAGGCCTATTTATCTCAGTTTCTATTGCTCTGTGCAATAAGCCTAGCTTCCACCACCACCACCGCCACTAACAACAAAGATATACCAAAAGGTAAGCAACAAACACAGTCTAAAAAGACAAATAAATCTTTAGAACAAGACTCAGATATTACAGAGTTGTTAGAACTGCCTGAAAGGTAATTTTAAATAACTAATGATAATATTAAAGGCTCTAAAGGAAAAGGTAGTCATTATTCAAGATCAGATAGGTAGTTTTACCAGAGATATGGGAACTGTAATTGTCAAATGAAAATGCTAGAAATCAAAAACATGTTAACAGAAATGACGAGAGCCCTTAAACGGCTCATCACTAGATTTGATATAACCAAGGAAAGAATCAGGTAACTTGAGATTAGTAGAAATTACAAAAACTGAAAGGCAAAGAGAAAAGAGAATGAAAAACATAACAGAGCATCCAAGAGCTGTGGGATAGTATTAAACAATTAAATGCAAGCATAGCTGGAAACCCAGAAGGAAAAGAAAAAGAATGAGACAGGTGAAATATTTGAAGAAATAATGGGTAAATATATTCCAAAATTACTGACAGACACAAAGCCACATATCTAAGAAGTTTAAAGATCACCAAGCAAGGGAAACAAACAAATCACACTGGGACATATCATATTCAAACTGTTGAAAACCAAAGACAAAAAAATCTTGAAGGCAGCTGGGGGAAAAGAACCCACCTTATGCACTAGTATAGACTGAATGTTTGTGTCCCACCCCTGGATTCATATGGCTGTATGAATGGGGCTGTATTTGGATATGGGAACTCTAAGGAAGTAATTAAGGTAAAATGAGGTCCTAAAGGTGAGATTAGTTGTCTTTATAACTCACCAGAGAGCGCATGTGCTCTCTCTCCCTTTCTCACTAGGAAAGGTCATGGGAGGACTCAGTGAGACGGTGGCCATCTGCAAGCCAGGAAGGGAGTCCTTACCAGAGACCAACCATGTTGGCACCCTGATCTTGAATGTCCAATCTAGACTACAGGACTGGCAACTCAAGTAGACTAACACACCTATGATAAAGGAACAAAGATAAGAATTACTGCAAATTTGTTAGAAACCAGGCAAGCAAGAAGGCAACAGAATGACATAGGTAAAGTGTTGAGAGAAAAACTAGCAACCCAGGTTTCTATGACCTAGTGAAAATACCCTTTAAAAGTGAAGGAAAAATAAAAACTTTCTCAGACAAGCAAAATCTAAGGGCATTCACTACCAGCAGACCTACAAGAAATGTTAAAGGAGGCTTTTCAGGCAGAGGCAACATGATACAGGTTAAGATCTTAGGTCTACATGAAGAAATAAAGAACATCAGAAATCAAACAAATGAATGTAAATGTATAATCTTCAGCTTGTGTTTTAATTACACTAAAGTAATGAAAAGTAACAAAGTATTGGGTATTTATATAGTGTATATAAAAGCACAATATATGACATATATGACAATAAAGAGGAGAGAAAGAATCTTCCCCCTAAGATCTAGAAGGAGGCAAGGATGTCTTCTCTCACTACTCCTATTCAATCTTACACTGGAATTCCAAGCTAATGCAATTAGGCAAGAAAAACAAAAAACATACACACTGGAAAGGAAGAAATAAAACTGCCTTTACTGGCAGACAACATATAGAAAATTCCAAGAAATCTACAAAAAAAAACCCAAAAGCCTTAGAATGAGTTTAGCAAGGTTGTAGGATACAAGGTCAACATACAAAAATGAATCGTGTTCCTATGTACTAGCAATGAATAAATCAAATTGAGATACCCCCCCGCCACCATTTACAATAGCACCAAAAAAGAAATACTTAGATCTATAA